AAGTTAGTATACAATTGTAGATTATTATTCAGAAGTCATTGAGAAGTGTGTAGTTATAATTTTGTGGAACTTTATACGTCCGTCTCCCTAAATTTCTGTTTGTACTACTGAAAAATTCGACCCAAATGTAAGAATCACACGTAAGTCATAATTGGATGGCTTAACTTTACCATTTTCACTGATATTAAATCTGTTGTTAATTCTACATAGCCTTGCAATCAATTTTGCAGAGATGAACTTCAATTTTAGTAGATTTGGTTAATAAAAAATTTATGAAAAATTTCCTAAATGTTGGAAATTTGAAATTTCTTAGAGTTTTTTAAATTTCAACTATTTCCTACAAAATTACAGTGCACAATAGTCAGAAACTTTTAACCCGACAGTGGTGTTTAACCCCTTAACGCACAGTTTTTTTGAAAAAAACCGGCCAAAAAAAATCAATTTTTTTAATGTAAAAAAAACAAACTTTAGAACAAAAAGTTTAATTCCATACAATGAATTTTATATTGAAATGATACACTATCAATTCTCCACCAACTTTCCTAGAAACTTCAAACAACTATGCAACAGCTTCGGTAAGTAACAACAATTCAAACGTGTTGCTGAATTCTTCAATTTTTTCTCTCTTTTTTTTATTCGCAAAATTAAGTTACCTCGATATCGATAATTCCAATGTATCGGTTAATGAAGCTGCTGTTGGAAATTTTAATGAAATATCCCAGATAGTTGTATGGATTATATAGAATTTTTTTTTTCTATTGTGTTAGAGTCCTGTTCGTCTTCAATAGGGCAGGGTGGAGGTAGTCGAGGGAAATTAAAATCGGTGAAACGTTAATTAATTATGCTTATTAAGTGAACTTGGACGAATTAAGCGGATTACGATCTGGCGCTGTGGGTTCACCTCCAGGGTAAAATTCTAAATTAATTCGTCTGGTCCGTTTAATGGGTTCCCGGAAATGCATGGAACCAGCTGAATGCTAAGTCTCGAAAATACCTCTCACAATTCTTTCCCCGAATCCAACCCCCTTTCCTTCTTTTTCCTTTTTCTTTTTTTTTTTTTTTGAGACGGCGGTGATATGAATCTGGTTAAAGGGAGCGAGTTTTAGCTGGTTTGTATAATAGTCCTCTGTGTAGATCACGTAATCGTATCTAAGGAGGAAAAGTACGTGGTATTTTCTTTAACTGTTCTAACGCGGAAGGGAGAAATATTGGAAGGAAGATCTGTATAATTTACAATGAAGAGAATTTAACTCCCTTTTTGCAGAGAGGGAAGTTTACGTTTGACGAGTATCCACGGATCCATCTTTCATTGTTAAGTAGTCGTACTATCATATTTTTCCAGTTCTCGTGCTTCGCAGCTGTAATTTGAAGAATTGAAAGAAAAATCGCTCCTGAGAATCTTGGATTTTAATTGTGAATGGTGGTTGATATTTTTTCAAGCTTCACAGCTTCTTCTTCTCACCATTTTCTTTGAATTCTCACTGCAACAGACTTTCGAAGACTAGGTGTACATTTAAATTTCGAATTTTTCTCGTATTTTAAAGAAGTTAACATCACACGTTTATCAATTCCACACCTGATATCACTGATATTAATAAATAATAAAAGTCTACCTTTTCTCGAATTTTCAAATTTATAAACAAATCTCCACATTTTCACGTTATCACATATTTATCAACCTCTGACCTAACAACACTGATATTAATAAATAATAAAAATCTCTCTCTCACTGCCTCTTCCAAAATCTTCAAAAACAAATCAGTTAATCCTCCAATTTCGATCGTAAAAATTCAACATTCCAGCCACCCCTATCACAAAAGATCCATCGCTATTGCATGTAATATATATTATATCTCTCATTTTATTTTTTACTTCAATTTTCACCAAACACATTCTCGAAGAAAGGGAAGAAATCGAGATTTATATACCTCACTATACAGGGTGTCCACGCTACTACTAGCCTGCATTTTTCTCGTAAATGATAAGTACTAGAAAGAAACGAAAGAGGAAACACATTGATGCGTAATATTCGAAATATTTCTTTCATATCCGACATTGTATGACCCCGACGATCATTGTACAGCGCATATAGATGAATTCGTCTTAATACGCGCTTTCATGTAACATGAAAAAATATGCAGTATTCCATTTAAAAAATTAAAGGTCACCGTCGTTTCTCGAATAATGTGGCAAATATAAAAAATTGGTACACCCTATGATATTGGTCATAGAAAACTACAAAACTTTTCCTTCGTTCATTTTTTCCTAATATTTACCTTTTACGAGAAAAAGCGCTGGCTAGTAATAGCGTGAACACCCTACATATTTCTCTAAAATTCTCTCCAAACAATTGACATTATAAAATATAAAAAACATGAATAAAATGTCCTCAAATTTCGATTATTCAAATACTTTGACCGTATATCCTTTCATCGTGAGGAACCATACAGTGGCATACGAGTGCATCACACTGAGCACGAGGAACGAAAGAATCATTGGCACGGGATCGAAGAGGGAATTAGTATCGTCCGCGCGAGTAAATTTATTTCGGTTGAGCTCGGGTCTGCTATAATTGAAGGCAGTGGCCAGTTGCGGCTGGAACACAAGCGTGCCGCTTTGCTGGTACGGTTCACGGAAAACAAAGGGAAGATTGTTCCGTTCTGCACGGTTTCGCCAGTCGCGCGGCTTCGAGCCGGAAATGGTCGCGACGCGTTACGATTCTCCCTCTCTTCCTGCGTATTTTTCTTTTTCGTTTATTTGTTTCCCAGAGAAAGAGGAACTTTTTTTTTTGTTCATTGTGGCGAAATTTCGCTTGTTTCCACTTTGATTCCTTGACAATTTAAGGGTGCTCTCTTTCGTTCGCTGCGTTCAATTACGCGTGCCTCTTTTTTTTGTGTTTTACAGTGGATAAAATGTGGAAGAAATTTCTTTTCTTCGGAATAATGATGAATTCACGAATTTGTGGTGGAATCGAAAAATTGTTGGCCACAGTGAAACGATGGAAAAATAAAAAAATATTGGGAAACGATCGGGAGAAAGTTCTCGCTTTATCACGAAACGCTTTTTTCCCCGTATCGCTAGCCAGTGGAATATGAACTCCATGGCTGACCACATCGGTCACTATCTACTGAACGAGTAACTGCTGGTGATAAATGCCACCGCGAATTATTATGCCGCCTTATCTTTGGCCTGCTCCAATTTTTACGACCTTCTGCTGGATTAAGAGTCTCTTTTCCTATGTTTAATTTTTTTTTTTCATGGTACAGAGATTTTTATGTCAGTGGGTGAATTTTATTGTCAGGAAAATGATGTATTAGGAAAATCGTAACAGCGATATTAATAAGTACATCGTGACAATCGTAGCAAGTAATATCACATTAGTAATATAAAAAATATTCATTAATTGTACTTTTTCATGGTTTATTTGAAGCAATTTATATTGTTTAAGTCAAACGTTGTCCAACATTCTCAAACTCTCTCAATCATTTCAAACAATTTTTTTTATTAGTGGATAATTGTTATGAAATTATGGCGATGACAAGAATATAGTTAAAATTGTTGGAATAAACTTCCAGCGTATATATTTAGTTAAGGAATAAATTTCAAGCACCATTCAAACCTTTTCAAACTTCCTCAAAAATGTTTTTCAACATTATCACTACTTTGAGAAGCATTCTTTCAACATAATTTACATTTTTCTTCCTATGTAACACTTTTCCTCTTCACTTCACACAATATCAAACGTCCTCAAACCAGTAACTTTAAAAAATCCTCTTTACTCTTCCATAATTCTCGCAAGAATACATTTAAAGAATAGTAACGATGATTATCAAAATACTGGATGATTGCAAAAGTTCGTGCCCGATTTGAAAATTGTTAAGGTCTGGGTTTATGACATGGACGCCTGTTTACGCTATTTTTGAATGTGCCTCTTTTTGCTTCGCGTTAATTAAAATTTCCTTTTAAATTGCCGACGAAGAAAAATTAAGTTTCTGCGGGCCACATACCTTCCTGGTGCCCACTCGTGAACATTCAATAGACATTGATATGTCAGAAAACCTTTCGCGTCACTCTGACCGCCCAAAGTCCCGTTACGAGCGAGCCACCCTTGGGCCTCGTTCCCCTGCCATCGCGACATACCACCAACTTGGAAATTCCAGGGTGGGCCATGGAGCACTTTCTAAGGGAGTAGACCCATTCCAATTGGCGTAGACTACCACCTCCCACCTCTACAGATTTTTATAAAATAAGCTCACCAACGCGGCACACAAAGCAGATCAGAAAAGAATAGACAAGTAACTCACATCGAACACACACCACATAAAAAGTACCACTCTTCATAATTAAAGTACACACTCAAAGTCAATCACCCCGGCATCACACCACCAACCAAACCGCACAACGAACTAGCGACAATCCCGCGCCACCACACTCGAACATACCGCTTGTTCCAACTACAAGACGCAGCAAAAATAAAACACAAGCCGTGTGTGCAAAAGCACATTTCATTTAATACTAAAATGAAATGAAACGAATAATTATTTGAAAATAAAACACAAGCGGTGTATCTTTCGATAGGAATGTAAACGTTGCGCCAAAGCAAACATTTGCGCCGAAGTCGATAAGGTTCCCGTCACCTCTGAAAATCGGCCACGAACTTTTGTAATCATCCAATGCATATGTTGTTACGCAGTAAAATACAGGTAACACTCGAACTCTTTCAGTCTTCCTCCCAAGCATTCACTTGCGATACTTTACACTTTTCGCCCTACGATAAAATTTCCAATCGTAATCCCACGTGAAACAACCTCAAACCCGTAATTTCAACCAGAGTCTCAATCACCTCTATCGTTAAATCCACCTCGAATGTTGTCTGGTGCAAGCGAAAGATGAAACACTCCCCTTCGATTCTCATTCATTTTCCCCTGGCATACGTGTCAGACGATCACGAATCCGTGCACGGTTCAGTTGCACCGTTATATGCCCCCTTTCTGTTGCAGGCGAAATTGGAAACGAAAGCCCTGAAAGCGAAGAGGCCAGGATTCACGGACGAACGGTACAACGAGACCAGCTATTACGTGGAGAACGGTCAGTATACGTCCCTGTTTTATGTTTAATCCAGCAGTCAGGGCTGGCACGATATTAGCCGACAAATTGCCAGCCAGTGAAAACGACGTCCGTCCGTCCTCCCTTCTCTCGCGAGAGCTGTTCGACGCGACGTTCTACCAGCAATTAGCGGTTAACGCGTGGATTTATGACGGTTGATCGATCATCGATCAACGACGGAGGGTGCCGCTCGCGGCCAATTAGGCAAGTCAGAGTCCGGAGAATCGAGAAATTCGACGCGTTGCACACGGTAACTCGATTTTCACGGCGAACACGCTTCTTCCTATGAGCTGGTTGAATTTTCGCCGAATTTCGCCGAAGAGAATACCGATTTGTTGTGCGTCAGGTGAATAAAGGAGTGTGGAAGGAATAGACAGGAGAGTTTCTTGGAAATCGTTTGCGAGTGTTTGATTCAAACTCACATTGTCTCTGATCGAAGAAGTTACATATCAATTAATAAAAAATTATCGTACAATTGTAAATGATTATATTCAGAAGTCTTTAAGAAGTATATACACAGTTACAATGTTTTAGCATTGTACATGTTTGCAAATATGCACAGTGGTCTAAAACTTTTGTCCAGTAGTGTACACATCCATCGGAACAATCATCTTTCATTAACCTCCCCTATACATGCGTCTATTAGCGTCACAAAGCCCAGCAGAAAGGAGACAACTGTCGATCAGGAGAAGAGGTCGATGAAAACGAAACCACCGAAAGAGAACTGCATCCCTCCTCCCCCTCTCTATTTCCCTCTTTGGCTCATCGCTGCTTCCCTCTCTGGTTCATCTCTCTTTCTCTCTCCCTCTTTTTCTGCCCCCCACCGCCTCTCTTCCTCACACTTTCTCTCTCCGTCTTTCCGTGTTTCTCTCTCTCTCTCTCTCTCGTTCTCTCTGGTCTCCTTTTCTCTCTCCCTCTCCGTTCGATTTCGTTGGCATTGCGAGCGTCGCGCCGCCGGGAGGCAGCACTCGGATCATTGTTCGAATCGCGGCCATTCGCGGGATTATCCGCGATTACTTGGGGGAACAGAGAGCCGGGGAAAAGCTGCAGTTACCAGTGTAAGGTCGACGGGAATGCAGATGAAGCGATTAACGCGTATCACTGGTCCTGTTCGTTCGTTCCTTCGCTCGTTTTCATCGTTGAACGCTTCCCTCTCGACATAGATAGAAAGAGAACGGTATAACAGGTTGTTGTGCTTGGCAGAACGACTTTCGTCGTTGACGACGACAGTCGTTAAGGCGCCAGATTATCCAACAGGTTTACGTGTTTTTATTTATTCAAGCGTTCTTCGGGTTTCTTGGATCGTTAACTGGAGACCAGAGATAATTGAGGGAGTTTCGCCGAGAAGAATGGAAGAGTTGGTTAGAGCGTTTCATTTAAAGAAATGAGAAATATCGTAGCTGTGGGGGAACGCTTGGCGTAGTAGTGGGGGAGCGACCTTGAGCAGTGGAAACATTCACGCAGACTATAGGGGAGAATCGTGCAGTACCGGCCACTCTAAGTTTTTGTACTATAACTTGGGCTAATGTTGGTAAAAATCAAATTAAAAAAAAATAATTTGCAGTACAAAGGGTGCTTAATAAAAGGGGACAAATCGTTTTTCTTAAATTTTCTCATAAAGATAAGTAATTCGTAGAAATAAAAAAGTTGTAATTTGTAGCGAGCGAAAAATTGTCGTACGGTACCGGCCAGCTACTTAGTTGGTAGACTTGAAGGTCTAAGTAATAAATAATGTTGGTAAAACTCATTTAAAAATAGAATAGATCTTTTATTTAGGCACGTCTACAAATATCACAGGTAAAGTGATCGATATTTTCTTGATCCGTACACTTCACGTGAGCCCAACCATTGCAGTTATGAAAAATAACTTTCGTCGTACGGAACACCAGCGTTAGAACTCTGGTAATACCGAAGAAAAAAGAACGTCGCCGGAATACGTTTCTCAGGGCTATCGTATTCGTTTGATTTTCCATCAATAGTGCAGTCAACTAACAGTATAAGCGAGATCTAGATTTGGCCGGTACTGTACGGCTGACCCGGTACTGCACGACTCTCCCCTATCCTACAGTCAATTCCATTATATTTAATTACATTGTAATTTCTACCACGCGAAATTTACCACAACTGCACAGATATAATTCTCTAACGTCTCAACTATCAAACCACCCTATACATCTCCCAGCAACATACTATCCACCATAAAATTCACAAAGTCGCTTCGCGAACGCATCGACGTTAATTAAAAACCAAGTTATTGCTCGTGGCTCCGTTGTTCTCGCGGATAATCGATGGTTTTTCATCTGGGGCGTTTATTAAGCAGAATCGAACAAGACTATGCATGTGGATATTACAAAATCCATAGAATCACGGTTCTAAACGAATCTTTCCATACAGGTAGTCGATGGAAAAGGGGGACGAGTCAGTCGATTTATCGAGTGTCAATACGTTTTGTAATTAAAGTACATCCACGCAACCTATGTGTACGTGTGTCTCTATGTATGTGTGTGTGTGTCCACGTCGCATATTATCGACGTTTCACGAGGATCGTTTGATAGACGGGACACTGATAGGTAGCACAGCTAAGCTCATTAGCGGCGGTAACGTTTACCCGTTGATAACGAACGAACGTTGGGACATTGTGAATGGAACGGAGGGGAAGAAAAATTGAAAATACAATTTCTCGATTCGATTCTGTCTCGAGGAAGAAGCAGGGGACGGAGATGGATTAATTTTCGCGATGGAGATTCTTGTTACCCCGTTTTGTTTTCTTTTTCTCTGAAATGTAGAAGTGAATTTTCTTTTAATATTGTATTGTTCGATATGTAGAGGGATCGTTCAGGAAATATTGCACATTATTGGGAAAACTTTGCGATATTTTATTCATTAATACAGTATTAACCTTTAGATTTGAAGTGGGACTCGATCAGCGGGATAATTCTTCTTCTTCAGGTATATTTGCGTAATTTGTACAGAAGTAAATGTAATATGTTGAAAGCTGGAAGGAAACATTGTCGTACTTCACTAGCTAAATTTTTGAAATTAATTGTATCAGTTGGTTGTAATTTTATTATTTATTACGAAATATTCTATGTAGTTACGTGTGTAGTTTACAATTAATATTTCGAGAAAGCAGCGAGAGGATATTTTTTCTCGAAAAGCCCTATTTCATTTAGCAAATAGATCGAAGATGGATCCTAGCTAGGAATCCTTTAATCTTCTTTCTTACTTTTAGAGCGGTAACTTCTGCCTCTACTTGGAACCAGTTCCACCAACTTCCTCAGACTTCTTACCGATCCCTCTTACGAAAAGGAACGATAAATCTTCACGGTTTCCTGTTTCGGTCAGTTTTATCGAAAAGTCGCCTGTAATCACGAAATTTCCATTGAAAATTTTTGATTTCCCCTCAAACTTTAGTCACGAAATGTTTGTTGCAATGAAAATTCGAATTGAATAAAAAATTGCAAATGCAATATTTCTTTATGTCAATCAAATATGCTTCATCTGTATAATTCCAATCGACAGAAACGACGAACGTAAGATATTGTTAAAAAAAAAAAAAGGAAAGAAAGAAAATAAACAAAGGGAAAGGGAAACAAACACGACGATATCTGCTTTATTCCATCACATCGGAAGAAAGCACACCCAATCACGAAATTTCCATCTAAGAGGGAAAAAAAGAATCGTATTCTCGGTAAACACGGCTGATTTCGTCCCCGAATCCAGCCAAGACACTTTTATCCCTTGTTGCTTACAGGCTCGCTGGCAATTCCGCGCGAAATTGCTGGAGTCGACAGCCTGGTCCTCGATGCCTATCGATTGCCAGGAACTTCGTTATTGCAAGTTGCGAATTCGCGATAACAGGAGGCGAAGTCGAAAGGAAAAAGGCGGTTGTTGAAGGTACGTAAGGATCGGGAGACTCTCTGCGAGAACACAGGCCTACGTGCGCACAGTGTAGAAGAGGAAGAAGAAGAAGAAGATGAAGAAGAGGGAGGAGAGTAGATAGAAGGGAGGAAGGGGTGGTAGAATGACGGAGAAGAGGAATCGATCGAATATTTAGTCTCGGTTGTGGCATATCGACTACCGATATCTGCTCCACATTCGAATAATAGACTCGCGCTAGGCTGACGACGTGCTGCCGGGGCATCCTCCAGTTCCTCCTCCAACGAAACAAAGACCTATTAATGCCACTCGAAAGACACACGGGCAACCGAGCGTTCCCTCTCTACGATGGACGTCCCCTTAACGCGAGAAACGCATTCCATTACCGGAGAGAGAGACTTGTGACACCGACACTCGTATGTACTCTACAGGGTGTCCTAGTTTTTTCCAAACTTTGCCTGTACATTCGATGGGCATAAATAAGGAGAAAAGGTTAGATAGGGTGGTTTGAAGCTTCGTTTAGCGTGGAATTTTCTGCAACAGTGTTGCAATTGAGGAAGAAAGGTTTGCACGATTAAAGAAATGTATACCGTTGGGGTTGCTTGAAAGAGCTCGGTAGATGTGTTTAGTTTCGAATTGTTGCCAGAGTTATCAGGACTTTGTGTTTACTTATAGAAGTTGGATTTGTTTGATCGATCAATTTGAAAATTTTAGGATTGAAGTAGACATCCTTTCCTTCTCTATTCTCAGCTGTTACTCTATTCGAGAAGTTTCTCCACATTCACGATAACACGAATCTTCAAAGAAGATCAGAGAGTAAACCTGGTCTGAATTTGAACAATTTACCGTTCTCCGCGAAATTCCTCCGCATTCACGACAGATGGAACCTTAAAAAAGGAGAATAGACCAGACGCAACTGTTGTGGAACAACAGGTGTCAACAAGTGTCACGGATATTTCAGCGTCACAAATATCCCTGCAAATCTGTTCCACCAATTCGAAAATGGCCGGGAAAGAGGCCAGAAAGTCTATGAACCCTCCCAGGACAATTAAACCGACCATGGACTAGAGCGGATCGAAGGTTTGTTAGTCGTAGCATGAGCC